ATCTACAGAAACTCAGCCCGCTTTAATGAGTCCCACTCGTGTCATTTCTGTGAGCAGCTCCGGCAAAAATAACCACATCTTTACATTTCCAATAGAAAAGGTGAGTGATGTTTGCCCAATGCAAAACTTTCTGAGCCGAACCGTCACGAAAAGATCATTGTGTGGCTCTAATAAGTCACGGTTCCATATATATATCAATGATGTAATGATCAACCAGCTGCCATCCGGATCTGGTTTCCCCGGGCAACCTGAAATAAAACTGTCAATCACTGCAAGCAGCTAATTAACTAGAGAGGGGGAGGAGTCTCACTTCAGAGGGAGGCGGGTGCTGTGGATTTGATTGACAGCTTGACATCAGAGCCTTCCGCAGAATGGAAATGTGAGGTCAGGATGAGAGATAATGATGTGCTCATTTTTAGACTCGCCATTGAAAGTTTCGGTTGAGCACACACACACACACACACACACACTTATACTAAAAAACGGCTTCGGTTTTCGTCAACCCTGAACCTTTTTATTGTAGAAAGCCACGAACGTATGATATAGAGAGAGATACGGGAGCAGAGGTCGCACGTGATTGACGTGAGCCGCTATTCAGAGAGAGGAGAGAAAGCAAAGCGCTGGATTCTGACATTTCTCACAGCACACGAATCAGTCGGTTCATCAGAAGAGACTGACGGGACACGAGGCGTTCAGACACATCCGGGTCAGAGCATCGACAGTTCATTTGATATAAAACAGCTGCTAACACCTCAGACAGACCACTGGCCGTCTGATGTACTGCACACACACAAAAGAGCTCTCGCAGAACAACCAGATCCAGCCGCTGCATTCCTCACAAGAAATATTCACTGTACTCTTCTTTCACTTTCAAACTTGGTGTGTGTTTTGTACATACATATGTTGTCTTTTGTGTAGATAACAGTGTTATTATAGCATCATTATCAGCTTTTATTTTATATATAGGTTTTATTTTTATATTTTAATTTTAGTTACATTTTTAGTCATTCAATGACTTGATGAGATTTTTAAAAAATTAATAAAAATGTCTATAATTTTTATTAATTTTAATTTCAGTTATAGTTTTAGTTATTGTAGTACATCAAGTTAAACTAAACAAAAACAGAAAATGTTGCCTTGGCAACTAACTAAAATAGAATAAGTTTTAAGTTTTATTTATAGTCGTATTTATTGTAACATTTTTTTTAGTTAACTGATAATGCTTGTTATAATTGTTTTTTATTTTTATTTTATAGTAACAAGATTATCTATGGTTTTAGTTCTAATCTTTAAATAAATCCTTTATTATTATATCATCTTATCTCTATCATTATTATTATTATCAATAATAATAATAATTTTGTTTTGTTTACTGGGAGCTTCACTAAAAGAAATCTGTTGAGCTTTTTTATTTTATTTTTAGTTCTAGCCGAACCGTCACGAAAAGATCATTGTGTGGCTCTAATAAGTCACGGTTCCATATATATATCAATGATGTAATGATCAACCAGCTGCCATCCGGATCTGGTTTCCCCGGGCAACCTGAAATAAAACTGTCAATCACTGCAAGCAGCTAATTAACTAGAGAGGGGGAGGAGTCTCACTTCAGAGGGAGGCGGGTGCTGTGGATTTGATTGACAGCTTGACATCAGAGCCTTCCGCAGAATGGAAATGTGAGGTCAGGATGAGAGATAATGATGTGCTCATTTTTAGACTCGCCATTGAAAGTTTCGGTTGAGCACACACACACACACTTATACTAAAAAACGGCTTCGGTTTTCGTCAACCCTGAACCTTTTTACTGTAGAAAGCCACAAACGTATGATATAGAGAGAGATACGGGAGCAGAGGTCGCACGTGATTGACGTGAGCCGCTATTCAGAGAGAGGAGAGAAAGCAAAGCGCTGGATTCTGACATTTCTCACAGCACACGAATCAGTCGGTTCATCAGAAGAGACTGACGGGACACGAGGCGTTCAGACACATCCGGGTCAGAGCATCGACAGTTCATTTGATATAAAACAGCGGCTAACTCACGCAGAAAACCCCAGCTAACACCTGATGTACTGCACACACACAAGAGCTCTCGCAGAACAACCAGATCCAGCCACTGCATTCCTCACAAGAAATATTCACTGTACTCTTCTTTCACTTTCAAACTTGGTGTGTGTTTTGTACATACATATGTTGTCTTTTGTGTAGATAACAGTGTTATTATAGCATCATTATCAGCTTTTATTAATATTTTGAATTAGGTTTTATTTTTATATTTAAATTTTAGTTACATTTTTAGTCATTCAATGACTTGATGAGATAAAAAAAAAAGTATATAATTTTTATTAATTTTAATTTCAGTTATAGTTTTAGTTATTGTAGTACATCAAGTTAAACTAAACAAAAATAGAAAATGTTGCCTTGGCAACTAACTAAAATATAATAAGTTTTAAGTTTTATTTATAGTCGTATTTATTGTAAAAAAAAATTTAGTTAACTAATAATGCTGCGACATACAGTATTTTGTCTTGTTATAATTATGGTTTTTATTTTTATTTTATAGTAACAAGATTATCTATGGTTTTAGTTCTAATTTTTAAATAAATCCTTTATTATTATATCATCTTATCTCTATCATTATTATTATTATCAATAATAATAATAATTTTGTTTTGTTTACTGGGAGCTTCACTAAAAGAAATCTGTTGAGCTTTTTTATTTTATTTTTAGTTTTTTTATTTTATTTTATATAAAATTTATAAAATGTTTTATAGTATTTGTTTATAGTAACAAATTAACTTTAGTTAACTATAACAGCCCTGCTCCATACATTATTTTGTCTGGTTATTATATATTATTATATTGTCATTATTATTATTATAATTAATGCTGTTTTGTGTACTGGGTGCTGTGGATTTGATTGACAGCTTGACATCAGAGCCTTCCGCAGAATGGAAATGTGAGGTCAGGATGAGAGATAATGATGTGCTCATTTTTAGACTCGCCATTGAAAGTTTCGGTTGAGCACACACACACACACTTATACTAAAAAACGGCTTCGGTTTTCGTCAACCCTGAACCTTTTTACTGTAGAAAGCCACAAACGTATGATATAGAGAGAGATACGGGAGCAGAGGTCGCACGTGATTGACGTGAGCCGCTATTCAGAGAGAGGAGAGAAAGCAAAGCGCTGGATTCTGACATTTCTCACAGCACACGAATCAGTCGGTTCATCAGAAGAGACTGACGGGACACGAGGCGTTCAGACACATCCGGGTCAGAGCATCGACAGTTCATTTGATATAAAACAGCTGCTAACACCTCAGACAGACCACTGGCCGTCTGATGTACTGCACACACACAAAAGAGCTCTCGCAGAACAACCAGATCCAGCCACTGCATTCCTCACAAGAAATATTCACTGTACTCTTCTTTCACTTTCAAACTTGGTGTGTGTTTTGTACATACATATGTTGTCTTTTGTGTAGATAACAGTGTTATTATAGCATCATTATCAGCTTTTATTAATATTTTGAATTAGGTTTTATTTTTATATTTAAATTTTAGTTACATTTTTAGTCATTCAATGACTTGATGAGATAAAAAAAAAAGTATATAATTTTTATTAATTTTAATTTCAGTTATAGTTTTAGTTATTGTAGTACATCAAGTTAAACTAAACAAAAACAGAAAATGTTGCCTTGGCAACTAACTAAAATAGAATAAGTTTTAAGTTTTATTTATAGTCGTATTTATTGTAACATTTTTTTTAGTTAACTGATAATGCTTGTTATAATTGTTTTTTATTTTTATTTTATAGTAACAAGATTATCTATGGTTTTAGTTCTAATCTTTAAATAAATCCTTTATTATTATATCATCTTATCTCTATCATTATTATTATTATTATTATTAATGTTGTTTTGTGTACTGGGAGCTTCACTAAGAGAAATCTGTTGAGCATTTTTTTATTTTATTTTTTTATATAAAATTAAAAAATGTTTTTATAGTATTTGTTTATAGTAGCAACATTTTCTATGGTTTTAGTTAACTATAACAATCTTTTAATCTTTAAATAAATCCTTTATTATTACAGTATATCATCTTATCTCTATAATAATAATTATATATATAAATAATTTTGTTTTGTTTACTGGGAGCTTCACTAAAAGAAATCTGTTGAGCATTTTTATTTTATTTTTCGTTTTTTTTATTTAAAAAAAAATGTTTTATAGTATTTGTTTATAGTAACAACATTTTTTTATGGTTTTAGTTTTAGCTTACTATAACAGCCCTGCTCCATACATTATTTTTTATATATTGGTTATTATATATTATTATGTTGTCATTATTATTATTATTATTATTATTATTATTATTAATGCTGATTTGTGTAC